GATAACTCTAAACCTAAGAAAGAATTTCCAGGTTTTCTGTCTTAATAAAGAAGCAAAAATGTTTGCACTCAACAGATTCCTTTTAGGGAGTCCTTGCTATAACAAGGCGTACTTAAAAGAACATTCTTAATCTGATATAAATTGGGATAGAATAAAGAACTAAATAATAAGCTAATAAAGAATTAAAAAACTAAACTTCAATCTTCATATGAAAGTTTGGAGTGACATTCTACAATTAGATTTAAAAAATTCCAGGAGAAAAGTGAGACTTGGGTTGAAGGTTAAATAATAAGAAAATACATTGAAAAAAAGGGGTGGAGAAGCCCAAGGCAGGAATGGCATGAACGGGCACAATAAAGAAGAGGATAAAACTTTGGAGTCAGCATCGGGAAGAAGTAGGAAATCACTGTGATGTAATTTAAGGACTTTCAAGTAATGATAAAGGATTTTAGAATCCGTATGCTTAAGATAGAAGCCACTGGAAGTTATATATAAGTGTGATGTCGGGCCAGACAGTGGCACAGTGGTCACTCAATGCCCCACGTTGCTGGACTGTCATGGGAAGATCCTGAGTTCCCATCTATGACAGGTGCATGTGTGCCTGTGATCCAGGCTAGCAGAGGCTGGGGCAGATGCCGTGAGAGGACCTCCCTTGAAGGTGCCTGTTCTCTCTCTTACTCATTTGCTCTGGAGAAATTAAATAAGCTTAATTTTTTTTTTAAATGTTAAGTGATTAAACTCAGTCTTCTCTGGACAGTAGTCTGGAAGAATAAAATAGGATGAATGTGGGGAGGTGAAATGTGGAGTCAGAGAAACTACAAATTCCAGTAATTTGGGCAGAAGTTGATGAGGCCAGGAATATTCTGTTAAAAAAAGAGTAAACAATGGTCTTCCTTGACTACCAAAATTAACCAATTCACAATATTCCCCGACCTCTTCCATGCATTGCTTTTTCATAGCTTTTTTACCACTTTATTTTTATATATCGTCTGTATCTCCCCTTTTTTGTTTGTATTTGTTGTATTTTCACAGAATGGTGAGTGACATATATAGGTGCTTAATAAACTTTTTGATGAACTAGGTAAATACTTTAAGAATTTCAAAAGAAGTAATACTTAGTAGAAGACAGGATATAAAAAATGAAAAGAATGGAAACAAAAACTGAACTAGTGATTCCAGGTTATACAGCCTAAAATGTTATTTTAAATGGGAGAACAACCGGAAGTTTTTATCCCATGTGGGGAATTTGGAGCTGGTTTTAGACAGAAAAGTGATATAACAATATTTATTTCAGACACTCAGCGTGGTAACTAGGAAAGGAAGGCTTTCCATAAAGAGGTTTTGAAAGCATACATACACTTTAGGGTTTGAATAGTAGTAAATATGTTCTATCTAGACATGGAAAGATAAGACCGAAGATAAGAAAAGCAGACTTGAGAAGCCAGATGACCTACATGGCAGAGAAGCTTTCAGAGTGGAAACAAGTAAAGGGTTTACTGTGTTCATGTTCGTGCAACTAATTTTGTGTAAGAAAACCTACTTTCATTTGGCCAAACGCATGTTTTAGCAAGTTCTGAAATTAATTTGAGAAATTCGTAACCTGGAGATAGTATATAAGTGCTAAATCTTTTAATTAATTTTGTGAATATGTACCTTTTATTCATTATGTAAATTCCTAAAACGTTTTGTGCAAATCAAAAAAAGGCAAAATCTACTTACATTGACTTACATTAGAAGAGGTTTTTTGTCTGCATTTCTGATTAATTTGCAATTGGCAGTCCTTCATAGCACCTTCACTACTTTTCTGCCCTGCAAGATTGTTGTCAATTAGCTGATGAACTGTCAGCATTTAATTCATCAGGTGCTTGCTATTTAAAGGATGTGTGTAATGAATTCTTCAGTTATATATACAAGAAAAATCATATTTGGATATATTGATTTTTTGAGGAACAAGGGCCCTGTGTCATTAAATCTCGAGGAGTTTTAGTATAATCAATTTATAAATAAAGCATAGGATATATGAAAATAATTGCTTAAAGCACAATAGATATTGATGCAAAATAGTTCACTAAAGTATAAAAGTACGTACATAATGTTTTTAGCCACTGTGAGAATTTAATTAGCTCTTAAGATTTCTAAATTCAAAGTTTCTGTGGGTGGAGACTTAATATGAAAATTTGGAAATGTCATTCATTTTCTTCTATTTACTTCTCTCTTGTCTTAGAACAAGCTTAATATTACCATAAGAGTATGTTAGTTGTGTGTCTCTGGTAGGTAGGTGTGTCTCCTTTGTAATACATACATACACATAATTAATCAGTTTTTATTTATTTATTTTTTAAAATTTCCCCTGAAAATCTATACATTCAAGATGTAGATTGAAATGTACCTGGAGAAAATATTTTTATGCAATCTGTATGAAAAGGTTGAGAAAACAAATTCTGAATTAATTTTGAACCTGACTCACTGAGTTCTAAAATTAGGGGTCCCAAGTTCAAACCGAAAAGAAAGAATTTGGAGAGCACGATGCCTTGTCTAACGGACACCATGCCACCGGGCTGGCCCTTAGATTGCTTTTTACGTCTGCTGATTGTTTCCTTTGCTGTACAGAAGATTTTTTAATTTTAATGCAGTTCCACTAGTCTATTTTTGCTTTTGTTGCCTGTGCTTTTTGCCTCATATTCAAAAATCTATATCCATACCAATGTTGCAGAGCTTTTGCCCTGTGTTTTCTTCTATATGTTGTACAGTTTCAGATCTTACATTAAGGGCTTTAACTATTTAGAGCTGATTTTCTTATCTGGTGTTGAGATAAGGTTCAAATTTCATTTTTTTGCATGTGGACCTACAGTTTCCCTAACATTTACTGAAGAGACTGTCCTTTCCTTACTGTGCATTCTTGGTACTTTTGTTGAAGATCAGTTGGCTATAAATACTTGGATTTATTTTATTTTTTTAAATATATTTTATTTCAATTTCTTTTATACATTCAATCACATATTTCTGAAAATTTTCTTCAGTCCCATTGGTCTACATCTGATTTCATACCAGTACCATATTGTTTTGATTACTGTATCTTTGTAAGAGATTTTGAAGTCAGAAAATTTGAAACTTTCAGCTATTGCAAATGGAATTACTTTCTCAAATTTTTATATAGCTTATTGACTATGTATATAAATCTGAATGATTTTTGTATGTAGATTTTATGTTCTACAACTTTACTGAATTTACTAGTTCTAATAGATTTTTTGTTGAGTCTTTAAAATTGTCTACATATGTGGTTATGTCATATGTAGATAGAGATCATTTTACTTTCCCTTTCTAATTTGGATATATTTTATTTTTTCTTATTTAATTGCTCTGGTTAGAACTTCCAGGACTATGCTGAATAGAAGTGGTGAGAAGGAGCATACTTGCCTTGTACTGGATCTTAGAGGAAACTCCCAATTCCACTTGCTCATTGTATATAATCCTTTTATTGTGCTGTCAAATTTATTTTGTTTTCCTTCTGGTGTTCCCATAACACATACATTGGTTTACTTGAAGATGTCCTATATTGTGTGCTTTTTTTTTTCTATTTTTTAAAGTCTTTTTTGTTTTGTTCCTCTAACTAACTAATTTCAAGTGATCTGTTTTCAAGTTCTCTAATTCTTTCTTCTACATGATCAAGTCCACTCCTGATGCTGTCTACTGAATTTTATAGTTCTGTCACTGTATTCTTTACCTTTAGAATTTTTGTTTGGTTCTTTTTTTGTGGATTCTATTTCTTAACTCTTTTTGTTCATGTTTTCTTTTCCTGAGTTCATTTAATCATCTATCCATGCTTTCATATAACTCACTGAACTTAAGATTATTATTTTGTAGCAAGCAGGTGGTGTAGTGGTTAAGGCACTGGACTCCCACATGGCTGACCATGGTTCAAATCCTGGACCTGGTGACTTGAAATTCACAAGGGATGCAAGTATGTGCACGCCCAAAATCCCACGAGGAAAATGGAGGAGAAGGGATTGCAATGCGGTCATCTTCCCTGGGCAGTGATTTCACACTTTCTTTCTCTCTGTTTCTGTTTCTCTAGCAAGTGTACACACCCTATAGCAAAAATCTCTCTCTCTCTCAAAAAAATAGATTATTACTTTGAATATTTTGTTAAGAAGTTTATTGAGTTCCATTTCTTTAGGTTCAGTTAGTGGTGTATTATTAGATTCCTTGGTAGTGTCATGTTTCCCTGATTCTTCATGATCCATGGAGCTTTACCTTGATGTCTGTTTATGTGAAAGAGCAAGCAACTCTTCCAGTGTTTATAGGCTGGTTTTGTTAGAGAGAGAACTCAATCTGTTCTGTACCCAGATTGAGTGGACTGTCTCTGGGAGCACAGTTAAGCTGGAGCTAGTCTTCAGATGGCAGGTGTGTGACCTGTGGTATGAATGTGTATGAGTCTCTGAATAGGCTCCCTTTACATCCCTGGCCAAGTCCTTGGGTGAGCAGGACTATCTCTGGGACTGTGGTAGAGTGAGTGAATTCAGGTAATAGGGCTGCTTCCGGGTCCATAGCTGGGTCCAAGGTTACCAGGCCTGTTAGTGAGGGTGCTGATAGGCATGGCTCCCACTGAGTTCCTGAGTGAGCAACACTGTCCCCAGAACCTGGTGTGTGGGGGGGTAACATTTTGGTCACAGGGCTGCTTCAGGGTTGGGTCTGAGGTCAATGAGTCTGTTACCAGAGGCACAGATGGGCATGTCTTCTGCCAGGTCCTGGATAGGCAGGACACCACAGAAGCACAAGATTGGAGCTGGGTCACAGGGCTCCTTGAGTTTCCAGTCAGGACTGAGGTTGGCAGACATGCTGCAAGGGGCATAGATGGGCATGGTTCCTTTTAGATCCCTTGCCAGATGGGGCTTGTGAACCAGACCAGGCCAAGCAGGACTGGAGCAAATCCACAGGAGAACAAGGCTGCTTCAGGTTCATGGCAGTCAGTGAGCCTGCCAAGGGAATTTTTACCTGCCTTCTCAAAGTGGTCCTTCAGGACTTCACTGATCTTTTGCCTCCTTCCTTAGATTTCAAAGATCCCAAAGAAGCACTTTTGTCAGTGGATGCCAGACTGTTCCGTCTATAGGGGGATTGCAAACAGGAGACCTCCTATTCCACCATCTTGCTTGAATCACTGTCAAGATGACAATATCCTTGCACAGTTCTTTGTTCCACATTGACTTTAAGGTTCCTGTCCTGTGGTATACATTAGGAAGGAAGTGTGTAGTTATTAAGAACATGAGTTCTCAGGTAGCATGGGTTCAAACTTAGGAACTGTTTATTACTTTTATATGTGTGATTGCAAGCAAGTTGCTTTAATCTCACTAACCCTTAGTGTTATCAGTTATAAAATATATACAATACCACAGAACCTAAAGAATTGTGAGGACTGAATATGAAAAGCCACAAAATGTGATTAGCCAAAGAGCAGAAAGGTGACTACCAGGGGATGGTGCTCTGTGTGGGAACTGTGATGTTGGTCAAAGGATACAAAGGATACAAAATTTCTGCTAGACAGGAAAAATTAAGTTCAGGAGCTCTATTGTAAAATGTGGTCATTGGAGCCAGCAAGCGGCATGATGTTTAAGGCACTGGACTCCCACATGACCCACCATAGTTTGATACTAGATCTGGCAGCTTACTTTCTCTCTCTCACACTCTCTGTTGAGCACACATGCTCTATAGCATTTTAAAACAACAATAATAAAATTAACTGAATAATTTAAAAAAAAACATAGTGATTATGGTTAACATCAGTGTATTATATATGAAAATTGCTTAAGAGAGTTATTTTTTTTTTTTTTGCCAGATCATGAAGTGTGCTCACTCACAGTGGTAGGAGGTGGAGAGAAAGTGAGAAAACAATCCCCTGGGGAATGGAAACACTGCAATTCCATCTCCTCCACCTCTCCCTTCTGCAGGGATGTTAGGCCTGCATACACATGTGTCCGGCATGTTATTCAAGCTGCTGGGCCCGAACGCCTGCCTGCAGTCAGCCAGGTGGGATCCAGTCACCTTAACCAACATGCCACTGGCTGACTCTGAGAGTAGATTTTAAATATTCTCATTGAAAAACTAAACTATGTGAGACAAATTCTAATGATATTTATTTAGTCATCTCACAATATAGACATATATCATGTAGTGGAAGAATTCTTCACCTCTTCTAGCTTCCGGTGTTTGACAGCAATCCTTGGCATTCCTTGATTTGTAGATGTGTTACTCCACCTGCATGACTGTCTTCTCCTTGTTTATCTTCATAGCATCTTCTCTATGTCTGTCTTTGTGTCCAAATTTCCCATCTTTATATGGACAAAATCATATTGGATATTTAATATCCTTATCTTAAAGTGACCTCCTTAAATTCCTTTACTAATGCCTTTTAAATACCTTATTCATAATAAGGTAGCATTATGAGGTACTAGAAGATAGGACTTCATGATATCTTTTGGGGAAACAAAATTTGTCCTAGAATATCAAACATCTACTTTTAATACTACCTCTTAAAGGACCCATATAACTTAAAATCCCCTAACCCAGAAGGTGTTTGTACTTTCCCAAAACTGTTTTTTATGTGTCCTACTTTTCTTTACCTAGATTCCCAGCCACCTCCTGAGAGTTGTCTCTTGGGTCTGGCTTAGCTGTCACTCTTGGTCTAATTAGGGGAGCCACTTGACCTGCAGCTCAGTAGGTCCCCAATTCTGCTTTTCTTGCATCAGTATCTGCCTCTGACTGCTTCCCTTGGAGATTGACCTTGTCCTTATTTTACCTTTATTAATTCTCTATTGGTATAAATAATAGTAACAGCTGATATTTATTGAAAGTTCTCATAAGCTAGAATTATACCAAACACTCCAAAGCATTGCCTCACAAGAGCCCTATCTTGTATATTGGCCATTTTGCAGATGAGGACATTGAGATTCAGAGAGGTTACATCATCTCAAATCACACAGCTAGGAAAAGACAAACCCAGAATGTAAACTTAAGAATGTTTAAAACCAAAGGTTGGTTCTTACTGATACAGTCATTGCTCTAAAAGTTTATATACTGTGGTAGTGAAATAAGATCATAAATGCAATAAATATAGAAAATAAAATAATGTAGAGAGGAAAACACAGGAAACTATGTAAACACTCCTAATCCCCAATGGGAGTTATCTAGGAAACCTTCCCCCAAAAGATAACAATTCATCCAACACATGTGGAAATGCCGGTTGTGGGAAGAGACAGGTGAAAGGATGCAATCAAAAAAGGACTTGAGTAGCATACAGAAATTTTGAAATCTTTGAGATGATAAAGGAATGGAAATTATACCAAGAAAAGATGGCATTACTTAGTCTTATTTTAAGCAGAGAAATTTTATACCCTGTTAGCATACTGAGAAATTTACTCAGTGTAATGAGGATTAAAGAAGATTGGATCGCAACAAATAAAGAGATAGGGCATTTATTAGAGTCTATTACCTTGAAATAGACCCCCCCCAAAAAAAGTGATGATACTTAAATGGAGATGATGGCAGAGGCCATAGAAAAGAGGAAGAAGATTTTAGAGAGAGTAGGCATAATCCTTTCACTGGGGGCTAATCTAATGTGAGAATGAAAAAGAGGAAGAACAATAAAATAACTTCCAGGTTTCTAGTCTGGTGCCTGATTACACAGTGATGCTATTCACTCAAATAGAGAATAAGAAGGAAATCCAGGTGTTGGGTAGAGGGAGACAGTTAGGGCTTGCACTTTGAATATGTTGAGGAGGAAGTACTGTAGGTCATGTAAATAGAGATGTCTATGAGGCTGTTGGATGTATGGGTTTAGAGGTCAAGGATCATCACAATGATCCCCTAAACTGATCTCCTTGCTTCTACCTCTGTGGCTTTCCATCACTCTGAAAACTGGTCTCTACACATTAGATTAGACTGCATCCTCCCCTGTTTGCTAATGATGGTTGCCCATGTCATTCAAAATGAAAATGCAAGTCTTGGCTATGACCTATTATACAAAGACATCTATAACCTATATTTCCATGACACTCCTTGACTTTACAGGGTAGGCATGCAATAAATATTTGTGAATTAATGAATGCATGGAAAGTCTGATCATAGATACAGATTTAATTCACTCAGTAATTACTTCCTTGAATATTATGTATTAAGTATTGTTCTAGATTCTGAGAAATAACAAAGTAGATCATAAGTGTGCCATTATGGATTTTACTTCCTAGCTGAGGAGAAAAAAATAACAGATAATTAAATATACCAGATGCCAGATGGTAACAAACACTACAGAGAAAAAATGAAGTGAACTCAGGAAGATGGACTTCAGAATAATGAACATAAGGTGGTGGAACCCCACAAGAAAATGAATCATCACATACAGTGATAAGAGCAAATATCAACAATTAAGGGATGAATGGAGGAAGAGAAGTCATTGAACAAGTTTAGTAAATGGGACAAAAGACAGTATCATGCATGGAAGTCAAGGAAGTGAAGAATCTCAAGAAAAAAAGTGTAATCAATAATTTCATGCTTAGACTAATAGGGGTCAAGTACTAAATGAATAAAAATATATATTTTAGAATTTGGCATTTAGGTGAATTTACAAAGATAAGCTTCAGTGGAACAGGGTGATCAGAAGCCAGGTTACCATGAACTAAAAAAAAATAACAGGATATGAAGATATCAATACAGTGAATATGATCCACTATTCTCAGAAATCACTGAGTAAAAATTTAAAAAGATAAAAGGGATAACAACCTAATGGATTAAAACACATCAAATACCTTTAAATCTATAAATTGATAAATGTACATATCAATACATATTAATCACATATAATTATATGACTTATAATCAATATATAATGTGTTATATAATATAAATGTAGTATTATGATGATGTTATATTAATGGTACAACATATATAATAGATACAGTAATAGCATATATGTAATATAGTAAGCCCTTTAGATCCACAAAGCTTACATTCTAAGACTCAAAGGATATTTTGTAATTTTATCAACAGTACTAGGGAGAAATGTTCACCTGTTGAAATATCCATTTTGTAAGATAAATAATAATGTGATTGGATGTATGGAAAAAAATGAAATGAAAAATAAAATAAAATAAAAAAGAAAAGGATGCCTGAAACCCTGGATGGTACAGAGCCCTATGTATACTATGTTGTTTTTTCTTTTTTTTTACATGTATATCTATGACAAAGTTTAATTTATGAATTAGGTACAACAAGAGACAAACAACAGTAAGATGGAATGATATAACACTATACTATAATAATAGTTATGTGAATGTGGTCTCTCTCTCTCAAAATATCTTATTGAACTGTGCAAACCTCCTTGTGATCCATCAATCTGATAAAAGAGACAGCTACTGACTAGTGGGAAGGTAGTACATATGGCATGGCTATGCTGGACAAAAAGATCGATTATTCACATCCTGGTTGGGACAGAGCACAATAACACAAGATTTCATCTTTCTGCTCAGAACGAGCAGTTTAAACCAATGAGTTGTTTATTTCTGGAATTTTCCATTTAATATTTTCGAACAATGTTGATATCAGGCAATTGAAACCATACAAAACAGTGAATGAAGGGCATACTGTACATAATATATGCAATATATATATATATATCAAAATCTGGACCATGGAGACTCTATGGTTTAAATGACTGATTTCCTTAATAAGTTTGAAAGGATAAAACTTATGAAAGGAAACCTATAAAATAATATAAAAATGATAGTAACCAGTTATGACATTTGAATTTTTTTTCTCACCAGTGAGCAAGTGCACTCACCAGAGAGAGTTAGATAGGGGGAAAGGAAAAAACAACCACCAGAAATAATGGTCACACCATAATCCCTTCTCCTGCCTCCACTCCTTTTAGGATTTTGGGCAAGTGTGCACGTATGCCCAGTGTTTTCTCAATCTAACAGGCCCAGGTCTCAAACCATGCAGTTGGCCATGTGGGATCCAGCTGCTTTAATCCTAAGCCATGGGGCTAACCCATGAAATTTGAATTCTATTTGGATCTTTATTTGAACAGATTATTTTTAAAAAGACAATAGGAAACGTTAAACATTGGTATTAATATTAAATAGTTAATCAAATGTGTTTATTATTTGTCTTAAAGAGAGCACTTACAGGGCTAGCAGATAGCATGGTGGTTAAGGGTGTTGTACTCTCACATGGTTGACCGCAGTTAGAAAGCAAGCCAAGTGCAGTGCTCAAATTTTCCCTTGTCTCTCTCACTCTGTCACTCCCTGGTCAAATTAAAAAATAAATAAATTTTTAAAAATGGTTCTTCCTTTTTTAAAGAGGTTTTTTGCTATAGGGCACATGTGCTTGCCAGAAAGAGAGAGAGAGACAGAAAGCAAGAAATCACCCCTGGGGGGATGGCCATGCAGCAATCCCTTCTCCTCCATTCTCCTCATGGGATCTTGGGCATGGACGCACATGCACCCAGCATGAGTTTTAGCCATCCTGTCTGGGACTCAAACCGTGGTGGACTACATGGGAGTTTAGCAACATAGCCATTATGCCAACTGCTGGTCCCTAAAAAATAATTCTTGAAAGAAAAAAAAAAAAAGAGAAAGAGAGTACTTATTATTCAGAGATATATAATTATTTATGAATGAAGTGCCAGGTTGAGAATTTGCTTCCAAGTAATTTGGGTGGGATGGAGAGTGAGAGTAAAGATAAAGCAAGATTGACCATAAGGTGATAATTACCAAAGGTGGGCAATAAAAACATGAGGATTTATTATAATATTCTCCATCTGGCTCTGTTGCATAATGGATAGTGCATTGGACTTCTATTACAATACTCTCCAATTTTCTATACTTTTAATATTTTCCAATTTTTAAGCTTTGTGGTGGGTACACAGATCTTAAAAATTATTGTTTCTGAATTTTTCTTAATTATTTTATAATAATAATGCAAATGTCAGAAGCATACAGTGAGTTATAACTCTTATATTTTATCCCTTACTGAAAATAACCATTGCCCCTCTATAAGTCAACTAATCATGCTTTTATGTTAAGAAGCTCCTTTTCAGAGGAAGCAGGTGGCATAGTGGTTAAGGCGCTGGACTCCCAAACAGCCAACCATGGTTTAAGTTCTGAAGCCGGTGGCTTCAAACGCATGCTGGGCACATGTACATATGTGCCTAAAATCTTGAGAATAGAGGATAAGGAACTGGGGCATGGCCACCCACCTGCAGGGGGTGATTTCTCACTTTCTGTCTCTGTTCCTCTAGAGAGCACATACTTCCTATAGCAAAAATTTCTCAAAA